TCTTATTAGGGGTTTGATCCCTGGTACCACATATTGTACCGTATCTTGTCAGTGATAAAAGGACAGGAACATTTTTGTAATTGCTGTGTGCATGTGTGTTGAGAATATCTGTGACAGAAGGCAGGCATTTTCCCAGTCTTGAACAAAAAAACGAAAAATTCAAGTAACAGTTCCTGACCACCATCTAGAGTTAAAAATGTCAGGATGGTGAGCCAGAAAGACAGCTTAAGTGATAGAACACATGATTAGAAATTTTGAAGTTCTGGATTCAGTCCTCAGAGCCCATGTGCCACTATTCTTACTAGCACTATGTTGAGTTCCCCTGAGAGTGTGGCTGTGTTAAAGAAATAAAGAAACAAGAACAGAAATTCAATTACTGCTACTTCTGAAGATCAGAGTACAAGGTGGGGCTTGCAAATCAATACGTACATCTTATTTTTGGAAGCTAATGTATGACAGACTTGTATTACCAAATGATTAGGACATAGTAATTTTGACAGGACAAAATAATGTCAGCAAGTTCAAATTCAAAGGCAAGCACTGTAGCACTGTCCTCCTGTTGTTCATTGATTTGCTCAAGTGGGCACCAGTAATGTCTCCATTGTGAGACTTGTTGTTATTGTTTTTGGCATATCGAATGTGGTAGGGCTACCCACTGTGCTATCACTTCAGCCCTTAAAGAAAAGAATAATATAAAATTATAATTAAGGAATGCCATTTTGTCTTTATGGCTGATATCTATGCTATTAGCTGCTGTCAAAAACAATTTCAGAAAGGAAAACTTGCCTGAGCTGGTCTTCTGATCATTTTGTCCAAGGCAAAGAAAATCAAAGTAAAGGTGCATTCTCTTCCAGGAAGTCATTTCCAAAACAGCAGGAAAATTTCTGTTTTGGTGACAGGCCATTTTGGATGTAGGGTAAATCCTGGGTGTGAAAACTTTGTTTCTTTTCTCAGGGATAGTCCCCTCCACATATTTTGGCAAAGGGCAGGGGTGAAGAAGGTTCTACTATCAAAGCCAGTTGCCCCGATAATTTTCAAACAGAATGACAGTTTTAACAAGCCCTCCAGTTTAGGAAATGGAATGCTACTATGATTGGAAATGTCGATGAATTATAGGAATATCATATAAAATCTGAAATAGTTTAGTTTATTTCATCTTAAAGAACTGATGACTTAGGAGATTCAAGAGGTAGAATTAATTGTAAACCAATTTTAACTATAGAATTTTATTATCTTTTGCTGTACTTGATAATGAACTTAGTTATGTGTTGTTTGTTGCTAACAAGGTTAGATGACAATACTTATGCAGATAGAAAATCTGCCTTTCAGCTCAGATAGAGAAGGGAACACCAAGTAAAGGATGTTTGGAGAACTTGCTCAGGATGCGATTATAGACTATAAACTGAACACAATGGCCACTCAATACCTCTATTGCAAACTACAACACCCTAAAGAAAGAGTGAGCAAAAGGAATGCCCTGCCACAGAGGTGGGGTGGGGTGAGGATGGGATGTGGGGGTTGGAGGACTACTGAGATCATTGATGGTGGAGAATGGGCACTGGTGAAGGGATGGGTACTCGATCATTGTACAACTGAAACCCAAGCATGAAAGTTTGTAAGTCTACCACTGTATCTCATGGTGTTTCATTAATTAAAAAAAAATGTTCTTGGACCTCTGACACATATTTTCATTTGGATCTCAGAATGCAATGCAAGAAATAAAGTGTTTGCCAACTTAAAAAAAAATCTGCCTTTATTCCATGTGACCAAGTTCAAAGACCGATGGGTTTAAAAAAAATTTGTATTAAGCCAATGAGGAGCTCAGTGGTACAGTGCACACTTTCCATGTGGGTTTGATCCCCTGCACCAAAGGAAAAAGCCCCAAACACCACCAAACCCACAGAACCATCCTGCCCCCACCCCCCACATCATCTCTTTTTTACCTGAGGGATGAAGATGGGATATGGCACTGTGCTTTTCTTGCTTGGCGTTTTATGTTTGCATTACACATTGGCCCACTTCCGCAGTTTAATAAAACGTTTTGGTAATGTGAGTAATGTGGAGGTAGCTTAATTTCTGTCAGAGTCTTGATTGTGGACCAGTGGACCCTCTTCTGGGAAGGAGTCTGTTCTTTGCAGGTATGTAGACAAAGGGCCTCAGTGCTATAAAAACTGTTGGTTGAGAATTCCCCTTTCTTGCCTACTGGATCTCCTACAGAGCATGTCAGAATTTGGCAAATGGCTTCCATCAGTGGAGGAAGGCATGAAAGTAGTGAGAAAACAAACTAGTCTTCCTGTCAAGCAGAAGTAACACATTGTACTTTTGTTATATTCTCCTTATTAGAAGGTCACTAGGTCCAGCTCAAGAGTAGGGGATGATAGAGAGAGGATTGTGACTACTAAGAGGCAGGAAATTCTGGAAGCCCACCTAAAAAGACTCCTATGACAACTTTATCATCATCATTTTTTTCTATTAAAACCAAAGACAGGAGCTGGGGATATAGAGAAATGGGCTGAACATATGCTGTGTATGTAAGAGACTTGGGTTCCGTTCCTGACGTCGCATGATCCCTCAAACACTGATGTCGTAAACGTAAAGACCAAGGAAGAGAAGTACTACCAAATGTGGCCCCCTCCCCCAATAACTATATAGAGGATGTAAGATTAGATTAAGATTATAAACATGAAATGCAAAAGATTGTTCAGTTACTTGCCCACATTTTCAGAGCTAAATTGCCTTCTGAAGCATTATACAGAAAAATAAAATAACTCAGGGGCATAGAAAGAATTATCCTATGACTCACACTATTATTCAGTTCAAAATTCATGAATACTTCCTTGAAACTACTTAATAGGACAGTCATCAGTGGAAAAATAGATGATTTGAAAAGCATGCTTTCAATACTCAGATTTCTGATGAAAATTCCTTCTAGCAATCAGCAACTAAAAATATTTCAGTAAAATATGTACTGGCTCATTGGTCTCCTGGCACCAGATATTATGGAGTATGACCAAGCTTGGAAGGTACAAGCATTTGCAAATAAAAGCTGTTTCATAGTTCTAAATAAGGGAAAGAAGAGTAGCTCTCTAACTAATTGTAGCGGCAGACCAATGGTAACTGTCCTTTTCTTCTCCTTTATTCCTTGATCTGGGTCTTGATAGAACTCAAGTATGGGCGTTTCTTTGTTTTCTCCTTCCTCATATCACTGTAGGCTTTTCCCCTCAATAAAGGAAGTGGCTGCTGATAATCCATTCAGAGGAAGTCAGTAACGAGAAAAACAGACCTAAGATTAAATTCATTTCTTAAAAATCCATTTTCTCTTAATGATTCATTTTAAAACAAATGGTTTCAAGTTCTAATACTTTTTATTTCTTTTCACAATTCTGCTGGAGCGATAGCACAGCGGGTAGGGCGTTCGCCTTACAAGCGGCCAACATGGCCGACCCGAGTTCGATTCCTCCGCCCCTCTCGGAGAGCCCGGCAAGCTACCGAGAGTATTCGATATGCCAGACACAGTAACAACAAAGTCTCCAATGGAGACGTTACTGGGCCCGCTCGAGCAAATCGACGATCAACGGGAGGGACATCACAATTCTAGTAGTTTTACTTGGAAGCTACTGGGTAGAAAATAACAACTTTGTCCTGGAAGGATATAGGATTCTTTCCTACTTCAATACTTTGGAAATTTAGGCAAGCGAAGAAATCAAAACACAGATTTTTGTTATAGTTCAAGTATTAAATTCTGTACTATTTAGGAACAAATCCAGGATAGAGCATATGAGAATTCTTATATGGTCTAGAAGTTCACTTCTCAAAAAAAAAATCTATTGGCCCGCTCCTCTCTGGAAAGAAAGATGGCGGCCGCATGGGAGCCTTGTGGAAAGCAGGTTTGAGCCGGGGCTGGCGGGAGCGGCAGGGACCTCATGGGAAGGGGGGCTTTGTGGGCCGTTCCCCACGCCCCACCGAGGTCGCCAGCTGCCCCCCACGAGCGGCTCTCCGGCACGGCCACGGCCCCGGAGGCACAAGGACTTAGCACAGAGAACCAGCTGCTTGGAGCAGAAAAGCAAATGGACTTGTGTTAAACTGGGCCACCAAACCTGCCCGGAGGGGAAAGGGCGTTGACCAGCCCGCCCGCTCCTCTCTGGAAAGAAAGATGGCGGCCGCACGGGAGCCTTGTGGAAAGCAGGTTTGAGCCGGGGCTGGCGAGAGCGGCAGGGACCTCATGGGAAGGGGGGCTTTGTGGGCCGTCCCCCACGCCCCACCGAGGTCGCCAGCTGCCCCCCACGAGCGGCTCTCCGGCACGGCCACGACTCCAGGGCACAGAAACCAATCTCTTAACTAGCTAACTTTTAATAGAAATTCTTCCAGGGTCAATAAGTAAAATAGCAGAAATTCAAAACATCATTTTATTCTTAAACCAAGTTGTAGAAAGCAAATCATTTCACAACGCTGTTTCAGCATGTCTGATTGTGGGGGGTGGGTCGTAAACTCTAAACAATAATTGTGCATCTTCTATCGAAATAATCTATCTAGTCAAAGTAGATAGAGTATTAACTAGAACTCATCTGCCTCACAAGAATTGGGAGGGGTGGGAGGTGGGGGTCTATTGGGGTTCGGGGTTAAAAATGAGTATTGGTAAAGGGAAATGTGTTTGGTATCTACATGACTGAGACCTAAACCCGAAAGCTCTGTAACTTTTCCCACAGTGATTCAATAAATAAATAAATTATAAAAAAAAAACTATTGTCTCTCAAAAAATGTGCTCAAGACAAAACACACTAAACATGTATTGAGTCATTAGTTTTGGAGCTTTTGTTGTGGTTAAACCAACCACTTAATTATTTGGGCTATTAATAAAGAAAATACAGAAATTTGAAATGTCATTAGAAGAGGAGCATACGACACTGGGAAAATGATTTTTCAGAGAGCTAAAAGAGATATCTGAGGTCAACTTGTCATTTATAATGGCTCAGAACTCAAATCATCCTCCAAACTTGAGATACAGCACACAAATGTTTAATTTGTTTCTTTTATATTTAAAAAAGATCACAAAAGCAGAGCACTGGAGTTCTTTCTGTATAGTACACCAAGCCTATAAATTGTTAACATTGTTTATTATTAAGAATTCACAGTAATTGTCTTACAGAGTTTGCAAGGGTCAAGAAATCATTGCAATGAAATTATAGAGTAACAAAGTGTTACACAGATATTGGAGCGAAAAGTAAAACGCAATGTTTTGAAATTATTATAGAATAAATTACATTTTAAATCAGTTGAGAAGCTTACAAGTAATATCTTGGCTGCTATTTAGAACAGCTTGACTTTAAAATTAATAGCCAGCTAAAACAGGGAGACAGCAGAAAGCAAGTCAGTTCTGAGTGGTGGATACTCATTCCTCTTCTCTGGACTTCAGTCTTCTCCTTAATAAAGTTGAACCAATTTTCTTGGATTTAAAAAAACCCAAAACAATCAGTTCAATCAATCTGAGCCAAGGCAATTTTTTTTTTTAGTTTTTGAAATAAAATAACACAAACAATATAGTAGACATTTTATAAGATCAATTTCTTACCACTGAGAATTATTCCTGGAATAATAAGTAGGCTTTCCCCGTTCCATCGCATCAGTTGACACACTTAAGAAAGGAAGCATCCTCTAATGAGACAATAGCAGAACTGTAAGAATGTTTGGAAGCAGAGTATTTATGTTCCTTTAACACCTAGTAATTAGTAAAGTGACAAAACCTTGACAGTAGAGTTTTAACAAGACAAATTTAAAGGAACCTTTAAAACTCATATGATGTGAAACATGGAAGATTCTTTGCTTTGTGTTAAAACCTTTAGGTTGAGCAAATCCTCTCACAAAAGGTGCAGCACACTTTCTTACTATATACTTTAGATGTTTGGATTAATATTTTCCTACAATCTATGGGTATTTGATACCTTGTACTAAATTCAGGATCAACTGCATTCCAGGTGGAAGATATAAAAGAAGTGAACTTAGTGCTATGTCTGAATTGGGGACACCCAATTTCCAATGTGTATTTTCTGTTATAGGTTTAATACTGAACACTATAATCTCAGTGATGGCTAAATTTCACCTTTGTCACTAAAATTTATGGCTTTCATCTTAGTAAACAATTTGCAAAGTTATCTTACTGATCATAAAGATGAAAGACTATATAACAACTGTGCTGGTAGTAATGCCTACAATTTATTAATTTCATTTATTTCCCTTTTTTGTACTATACTGCTAAATGTTTCAACAGAAATATGAGGTTTCATATCCATGAAGGCATGTAACATATGGCAGTCTTAATGTTTTAACTATGGATCATCTTTAGTTCTATCCCTGCAGTAAAGTGATCAGAAAGAACAAATCTCTTGAATTACATCATAAGAAGCCTTCAAGGGCTGGAGAGCTCAACTGGCTAAGAATATGCTTTATATGCTGGAGGCCTGATTCAATCCATTGCACTGTATAGTCACCCAAGCATTGCTGGGAGTCATTCTTAACCATAGAGCTGGGAGTAGCTCCCAGCATACAGGGTGAGTCCTCCAAAACAAACAAACAAACAAACACCACAAACAAAAACCCCAAATAAAATGATACTTCACTGGATTAAAATTTGTGATTATGATATATTTTTGTATAATTCAAAAATTCTGAGGATTCAAAACTAGCTTCTGCAGATAAATTTGGCTTTTCTAATATGAAAAATAAGGACCACTTGTTTTAGCAGCCACAAGTTAGGACCCAATTTTTGTTGTCTAAGTTTTACTTGTTGAGGTGTCAACAACCATGAATTTTTGTGCTGTTTTAATGTTAAATGTCTTCTTTAAAGGCTGTGTATTTTTCAGCCCCTTCATGACCTTTTAAAAGAAAAGTGGGTATAAATTCCAAAATAAAAATAGTTAAAAGTGTCCGTAGATAATGCAGTTAAGTATATTTTATCAGTTTCTACAATAATCGAGATGTTAAAATTGGATTGATAACACCTTTTTATAATAGATATTTTACATAGAAATTAAACTAATTCTCCTTTATCATGAAATGAGATCAATTATTAATTATATGAAGCATTTACAATGTTGTTCAACTGCTGGTTGACATAAATTACTAAAAATACCTGTTCAACATAGTATTGAAAGAATTTAGTTATCTAATCTGGCCCTGGTTTATTAGTTCATTAAATATTACATTCATTAAGTCTTACCTTCCAAGTTAAATTTTTAAAGCAGGAAATTAATGCTGACTTAAACTTAAATTATGAACACATTATTTGTAGATCTTTTTATTAAATGGGTACTATGTACTACTAAAATGTGATAAAGAAAACATATTTTGAGGGAGTATTATATATGTGTCTCATACATGTGGTCACAATTTTCGCTATTTTGAGAAAAATGTACATATGTAATCATGAAAATAATGAGTGAAACCTAGTGAAGCTTTAATTTCTCATTTCATTGAGAACTTCCAAAAATATGGAAAATAAGAATTAATTTTTTATTTTTGAGGAATCTCTTTTGATGTTAAGTCTGTATTAGTTGAAATATGTTATATTCTTTTCCATATCCATCTTAATACTCAAAATCTCAGTGCTATAAATAACATGATTGAAGGATCATGTAGTAATGCATATTTAATATGATTTTTGTAGTGATTTAGGACAATAAATATCACATGGTGAAAATATATCATAAATTTTAAATGCAGTAATGAAAGGAAATAAAAAGATTCTGTACACATCACCACAGTCTTTACAATAAATTAGAGTGTTCCATCACAGCATACTTGAATACAATGCTGCTAATATGAACATAAAAAGAAATGTCATGTAGGTCTTTAATATTGATTAATAAAGTTTATACAGTATCAAATAATATCAAAAGTCTAAAAAAACACAATGAGTTTTTTATATCATGTTTATAAACTATTATTTTATATACCATAAAAAAAATAAGGTCAAAGTGCAGTTTAAAAAAAACTGGAAATTGTTATTCTTGGTAAGAACTACAAAAATGTACTGACCCAAGTAAGAAGCAATCTAAAAGACTTCTACAGTATTTTTAGAAATTTTCCTTAAACTTTCATAAAACCATGATTATTTTATGCCACAAAGTAAACCAATACAAATGGAGCTAAATAATTTTAAAACAAAATGAATAGAAAATAGATTTGGTGATGAAAAGCAATTGAAATAAATATAATTACAGGCTTCCCTCTAAAATGAATTGTTCTTTTCAGAAATGAATGGCCCATCACAAAATGTGAACAAATTTGGGAACTTTTAAGGAATTTCTGAACATTTTCATCTTTTTCAGGTTTTTAATTCTATGTGGCAATGGTGCACACTTCCCAGGATTATGAAATTTTTATAGCATAACATCTAAATATGACCTAAAGGTGAGAAATCATATATACTTCTCACAGAAAAGGAAAAACTAAGGATCCAATCATTAAAAGGCAGCAGTATAAAAATTAGTCAAGAAGAAACATATGGAAGAAACATAACTGTCTTAATTAGCACTTACCACAGTAACTAGTTATAGTTTGAAAAATTCTAGAACAAATGCCTATGCTAAAATATGTGTGGTACCTTAACTATTACCTTTATGTAAGAAACTGAGATGGTAAAATTACCGACTTATTACACAATTTTAGAGAAAAGGAGAACAAAAGGAATGCAAAGAAAAAAACTTTTAAGCTTATTATGGATCAAAATAGTGAAAGAGCTATTATCAATCAAGAGCGGTTTTTTTTGTTGCTAAAACTACCAGGCAGCCTGACCCTGGCTCAACAACACAACTCCCCTCTTCAACTGCTATTTAACTTGGTGTTTTGTGACACCAAGCAACAGATGATTTTTTTTTCTACTGAAAGAAGTTCCTTGTTCGTAACGATTATCACTGCCTGAGATAATAAAAACTTCATCAATTACGATAGGTAATGGTAAATGAAGGTCTTCCTAGTTTTGACAGGAGAAAAGGGTGCGTGGCTGCTGAAAACAGTATGGACACTCTGTAGGCTGCATACATACATACTTTAATAATTAATGTCCCCTTTAGTAGGAGATTAAAAATCAATGGATATGGATGCTTGTGCAGAATCTTCTCTCCCCCTGACATATATTTCACAAGGAATCTCTTCCATAACTCTGTCTTCTAGGGCCTGTTCGGGGCACTCATGTGCCTGTTTGAAAGTATAGCTACTTTTTTTGAAGGTGCTATTAAATGTTTTCATTGGCTGTGGTTGTGCAAAGTCATTTCGGAAAGGAAGTTCCATGGAACTGAGATTGGTTCTGCTTTGTTTGACATTGGATGCTTGTGATCCACAGTGATGGTCATGAATGCACCGGGAGGCAGTAGAGGAGCGCCTCATCTTCTGGTAATTGTCCAGTTCTTCTGACAAGTCGGCCAGGTCTGCAGAGATCTCTTTGTCCCTTAGCGAAAACAGTTCATAATGAGGAGGATCAAATACTTCTTGAAATCCAGTTTTATTAAAGGCAGTTTTGCAAGCCATGACCTTTTTTCGAGGCTGCTTCACTTGTACTAAAATAGAAATAATGAGAAGGACCAAGACAATCCCTGATGTAATGCCAATAATTGTTCCATGAGTTTTAGTGATTTGTTCAAATAGACCTGCTCTTTTCTTTTCTGTAGAAAGAAATAAAAAAAAAGAAATGTTCAAAATTTATTACTAAGTCTTATCAGAAACTGATACTTTTGGGTAAAGAGAACTTTTACATTAAACAGACCACAGATAAAGCAACTTAAAATAGTTTTTAAACATATAAAGCAAACTTATTATTATTATTATTTTTATTATTTTGGTCAACTTAACCAATCACAATATGATTACATTATAGAGGAAAAAGACCTGGTATTTTGCTCATAAGGTACGAACATGTAATTTTCAAATTTATTTAAATATATGATTTTAGAAAAAAAGCTAAAATATATTTATTTAGTTCTGTCAAATATCTTTGCTCTGTTAAATTTAGTTTTCTGCTTTGTTATAGATTTGATCATTATAGTACAATCTATAGTAAGATGAAGTAATCCACAATATTTATGTGGATGGCCAAGAGCAAAAGAGAACTAAAATGATCAGATTAATATAATTGGGCATTTTACCATCGTCTACTGTATTCTTTTTGCTTTGGGGCCAGACCCAATGCCTGGCAGTAGGTGCTACTACCAGCTTGGAACTTGGAGGTCACTCTAGGATGTGCTTGAGGAATCTGGTGGTGCTAAGAATTGAACCCAGATCTTCTGTAACAGAAGCAACTACTATTGTTGAATTTAAATACTTTACATCAAGTTCTTGAGACAGCAACATGAGATAACATTAAACTTACATTGTAAGATATTTATTGAATTGATAAGATAATAGGAGTAGATAAGCTTTATAATGATTTTTAAATACGCAAGGGTATGCACAGGTTGAACATCATTTTGAATCAGTGATCTGACAATCAGCTTAAAAACACTCAATTATTGCTATAATCCATACTTATCTTTCAGAGAGTAAATTTGGAAGGATAGCACAGGAAACTTTATGAAATAAAACATTAATTCCTACAACTATTCTCCTTCTATACTATAAGACTTAATACATCAGTTGATTTTTATTAAATAGATCCACATAAGTGAAAAAAACAATAATACTCTTATTTTGAGACTAAGGTATCATTAATAATGCAAGAGTCTAAACTATAATGACAAGAAAACAAAATTGCAGGCTGGGGAGGGGGTTACAGAAGGGAAACTGGGGACACTGGTAAAGGGAATGAATGCTTGATCATTGTACACTTGAACTTCAATCATGAATAATTCTGTAACTAGGTAATTCACGATGACAATATATTTTTTTTAAAGAACAATATAAAAGAAAATGAGGACAGGCAATTTACAATGGTCTTTTGACTAACATGAGGAGTTTAATTTCTTTAAAAAAGGTTTTTTAGAATAAGAAATCTTTGCTTCTGTTCCATCTCAAAGGTCTAAAATACATCTTAAGAAATGTTCTTCAAGAGAACAATTATATTAGGTCTCCATTATTGCAAGTACAGTGATGCTAAGACAAGTTGAAGAAAAAGACATTTCAAGTCTTTCTTAATGAAAGACATTAGTCACTCTTCTCTCAAGAATAGCCTTTGCCAGTGAACTCACCTTTACAATGATTTTCATCCCAGGGATATGCACAGTTTTGGATACCGTTGCAGACCAGAGAATTATTGATGCACATGTTGCTATGGCAAAAGAAAGTGCTGCCTGTGCAGGGAGCTACAGGAAACAAGAAACTTTATCATAAAGAGTTAAAATCATGTAGATTATGAACTCACCCTGATCTATTTTACACTTACTCTTATGGAATCAGTATCTTACCTCAAAGGCCTTCCCATCAATAAACTGTGTACCACATGAACAATAACACAAAGGTCAATATCATCTGATCTTGGCACATATCTGCTACATATACTCATGTAGGGCACCTAAAGGTCATTTTACTTATTTTATTATTATTTTTGTTTAGTTTTGGGGTTATAAACCAAGGTGCTCAGGGCTTACGCCTGGTGGTGTTTGGTGTAGCATACATGGTGCCAGGGATTAGAACTGAAGTCAGCTGCATGCAAGGCAAGTACCTTAACTACTTGCTATCTCTCTAACTTCTGAAGTCAATTTTTAATGTAATGACAGTATAAACATATTTCATATAAAATCATGCAGATAGCAACATATTTTTCTCCCCAAACTTTAAAAGAAATTTTGGTAAAGATGTAGAGACATTGGAACCCTTGCATTGCCTGTAAGAATGTATGGTACAGCAGCTGTATGACAAAGTCTGAAAAACTTACACAGGTTACCATATGATCCAGACGTTTTCTTTCAAGGTACTTTTACAAAGGAATTGAAAGCAGGAATTACAATAGGTATTTGCATACTAATGGCAGGCACAGCACTATTCATAATAATCAAAAGGTACGCAAATGTTTAAATGATAGCAAACCTACTGAGCTCTTGATATTCCTAACTGCTTGAGGTATTCACTACGTCCAAAAAAAAAAAATCCAACATTTTCTTGCTCTTATCTGTTTAACTTTCATTTTCCAGTCAGACCCAAACTTGTGACTATCTTTGATGAATTCTCTCTTGCTTTCAAACTTCAAACTTGTTGAGGTATGAAACCTTGTTGAGGTCACCAAATCTTGGTGAGTCTATCTCCATAACTCTTTTTTTCTTATGGCTCCTTTGGCTTGGACCTTCCTGTTTTCCTACCTGAACTGTGAAAGTAGCTTCCTTGTGCCCTCAACTAAATAAAGTGTAGCTCTGATGACATTTTGTAGCACACAAAGGCATTACTAGTCCCTAAAGTCTGTAACTCAAAGTCTATATTTAGCCTTTTAATTTTAAGGTCCCTGAATTCTAGCTTTTAAGGTCCCTGAATTCTAGCTTTTAATCTACTTTTCCTGGTTCATTTATCTCTGTTCCCTCTTCAACTATTTCCTGTGTCTCAAATTAGCTCTGTTATATACCTTTGTAAATTCTATTACTTCTGTTTGCAGTAACACCTCAATTAACATTTCTACTTTCAAAGATAAATTCAAAGGACATACCTTCAAAATAATTACTTGTTATTCCAAATTTGATGCTGCCTGCCAGACAGAATTTGAATACTGAATATAAAATCACATTTGTTTGTTTCAAATGTTCTTTGTCTTGACCCTTCTGTATTTTCCTTATCTGCCTATGATATCTCATCTAAGTGACTATAAGATCCTTTAAGACAGTTTCTGGGGGCTGGAGAGATAGCACCTTGCACGCGGCCAACTCGGGTTTGATTCCCAGAATCCCATATGTCCCTCGAGCACTGCCAGGAGTATTTCCTGAGTAAAGAGCCAGGAGTAACCCCTGTGCATCGCCGGGTGTGATCTAAAAGGCAATCAATCAATCAATCAATCAATCAATACAGTTTCTGAAACAGTCCTTTATTGAATCACCTGAAGAGCTTTAAAACACTCCTAATGTCTTCTGCTCCTAATAACATGGCTGAGGGCCCGATGACCACCACCATGATAACAGAATCACTGTAATCTCTGAGAGTGAGACTCAATATTTTTCTCTGAGGGCGAGGCTTCAGTATTTTCAACGTTTTTCTGGTGATTTCAATGAGCAATTTTGGGAACCTCTGTTTTAGGACAGAGACATATATCTATATCTATATATATCTCTATATATCACATCATATATATCATAGCATATGATACATATATATATATATAGAGAGAGAGAGAGAGAAAATAGGAGTGTGTGTGTGACAGTTAAAAAGTTGTTCATGATTGGGTGTCATACAATGTTACAATACCTGATACATATATATGCATATATAATATATATTATTATATAATATACAATGCATTTATATGTAATATAATAATGTATTATATATAATATATAATATAATACATATATACTACACACACACACATATATATATATATATGCCTCTCGGAGAGCCCGGCAAGCTACCATGAGTATCCCGCCGGCACGGCAGAGCCTGGCAAGCTACCCAGGGCATATTTGATATGCCAAAAACAGTAACAATAACGGGTCTCATTCCCCTAACCCTGAAAGGGCCTCCAACACGGCAGTGTTGAGAAAGACAAGTAATGAGAGGCTGCTAAAATCTCAGGGCTGGGACTAATGAAGGTGTTACTGGCACCCACTCGATGCCAGTAAATCGATGAATGGGATGACAGTGATGACAGTGATTGGGGGGAGGGTTACATCTGGTGAGGCTCAGGACTTACTCCTGGTTTTGCACTTAGGGATCACTCCAGGCAGGGCTTGGAGACCACATGGGGCACTAGGGATTGAACCCAGGTTGGCTGCAAGCTAGGCAAGTGCCCTACCCGTTGTGCTATTTCTCCAGCCCCATAATGGTATTTTGAAAACCATTTTCTGGTTTTGTCAAAGTTAATGTCAAAGCTAATTTAATAAGATACAAGCAACAGCCACAAAAGGCATTATTGACAAGTCACTTGTCACAAGCCATTTAATGGAAAAGAAAGAGAAATGACTCTTCTTTGCAGAGATTCATTCATTTGAATTATCAGGAATTTAGGGGAAGATTCAAAAATCTGTCCTCAAAGTTCCTCTACATTTTTAAAAAAGAAAAGTTAGGGGATATGGTGCCACCAGCAGGTAAATCTGTACCTGTGAGGCGAGTACAGCACCCTGATGGCGCCTTTAGACTTTCAGATACACCCAAATTGCTGCTGTGCCTTTGGCCAGACCCCAAACACCTGGGGCCAAGTTTACCAAGAAAATAAACGGCCAAAAGTTAGGCCAACAAACCACCTCCGGCTCAGCTATATAATTGGAGGCATGGCCTCTCTGGTTCCTGATCGAACTGCTTAACGGCCATGATCCCAGACTCAGAAACAAATTTCAAAACCCAGCGGCTTTCGGCAGAAATGCATCCAGTCCCTGCAGCAGGCTACTGGTGCTGGGCCACCCCACGTGAGGCTTCACAGGATGGGGGTGGAGCTGTCCCTTTCCTCCCCATCCCAATGAGACCCCGAGTCGCTGCCCATGAACGGCCTCTCTGATTCCTGATCAAGCTGCTTAATGGCATGATCCCAGAGACTCAGAAACAAATCTCGAAACCCAGCAGCTTTTGGCAGAAATGTATCCAGACCCTGCAGTAGGTTACTGTCGCCGGGCCACCCCAGGGGGGGATGAGTGCTGTCCCTCCACCTGCTCCCCCCCCCCCCCGCCCCCGGTGGCCGGTGGCTGCCATCCTCCAGAGGTCATCGGACAGTCAGATGTAGGTCCTCAGTGACGAGACACTTGGGGTCTCATGGGATGTGGGTGGAGCCGGCCCTTTCCTCCCTGTCCCAACAAGACCCTGAGTTGCCGCCCATGAACGGCCTCTCTGGTTCCTGATCAAGCTGCTCAATGGCCATGATCCCAGAGACTCAGGAACAAATCTCAGAATCCAGATTTTGGCAGAAATCCCTCCAGATTTAATTGTTAAAATTTCAGAATTTCAAAATCACACGGCCACTACTGCAGCCATGAGATATCATATGTTATTCATAACCAGCAATAGAAAACAAATTGTCTACTGTTGCCTTTTTGGCAGATCTGAGTGTTAGGGTAAAATTCCAAATAATAATGATGGGTCCGGTGTCAAAATATTGAATGTAATCAAAGTAGAGAGAGAGTAATGTGGAAATTATCTGCCCCACAGGTAGGGGAAGGGTGTGGGATGGGGGTTTACTGGGGTTTTTGGTGGTGGAGAATGGGCACTGGTGAAGGTATGGATGTTTCATTGTATGACCGAGACTTAAATCTGAAAGCTTTGTAACTGCTCTCACGGTGATTCAATAAATAAAATTATCACTGTCACTGTCACTGTCCTCCTGTTGTTCAGGCTCGAGCAGGCCCAGTAACATTGTGAGACTTGTTGTTACTGTGTTTGGCATATCGAATACATCACGGGTAGCTTGCCAGGCTTTGCTGTGTGGGCGAGATACTCTCGGTAACTTGCTGGGCTCTCCGAGAGGGGTGGAGGAATTGAACTTGGGTTGATTGGGTCAGTCACATGCAAGGCAAATGCCCTACTTGCTGTGTTATCTTAAAAAAAAAAAAGCAAGGTGGAGTTCATGCCCAATTCAATCAGCCTAATCAGTGGCTGAATAAATAGCAGTACTCCTACATTTAAAAAAAAAGAGAGAATTTAAAAACAAAAATTGTTGCAGTATTTGCTCACCAGATTGCCTGGCGCGATAGCGCAGCGGTAGGGCGTTTGCCTTGCACGCAACCAATATGGCCGACCTGAGTTCGATTCCTCTGCCCCTTTTGGAGAGCCCAGCAAGCTACCGAGAGTATCTCGCCCACACGGCAGAGCCTGGCAAGCTCCCCGTGACGTATTCGATATGCCAAACACAGTAACAACAAGTCTCACGATGGAGACGTTACTGGGCCCGCTCGAGCAAATTGATGAACAACGGGAGGACAGTGACTGTGATTGCGTGGCGATCCTTTCCCTTGTATTGTTTTACAGCCTGGAAAAAAAAACAATACTTCCCTAAAGTTCTTCCACTTTTAAGCTAAGTCTGTGTTTACAATGAGCTGTAGCATCCTTTAATGTAAAAATGATCCTCATTCACTCACAAAATAATAAAGATTGCTTTAAAATACTTAGTTAAGCGCCAGAGCAATAGTACAATGGGTAGAGTATCTGCCTTGCATTCAGTTTATTTGGGTTCCATCCTGGG